AGGGTATGTATTCAACTTTCAGGAATCTCAAGGATGAGTAGATGAAGAATTATCAGACCAATATGACCCTGTCATCAAAATAACCGGTGTTTTCTGTTAATAAAAGGTTCAACACAAATAGTCTCGATATGGTGTTTGCTCAGGAAATATTTATTTATTTATAAGATATAGGTTAATGACTACTGTTTCATGATTGGCTAATACATCTCCAGCATCCTCCTATATGTTGCTATATATTGTTGCATGTTGTTAGATAGAGTTTCCAAAAACTGTTATAAATGATATGGTGATATTTGCTGTCCTGCCAGATAGCTCAGATTCAGTACTGACATCTGGATTGTCACTGGATCATCTTTAAATAAACTACTGTCTTCAGTTTAAGTCTCCATTCTGGAACTCAAAATTGGGCACGTTTCCCCTTCGCCTTCAATCTATTTAAAAGGCCAATTGCCTCTCCTAGAGGCTTCCTTTAGATATGTTGCACTTCACTGCTTGGGAGGCAAGGGTCAAAAAACTCTCTTTGAGGGCTGCATGCAACTTCAACACCACACTACTCCTTTTTAACATTTCCATTAGCATTGCAATATTTTCATCAGAAAATAACTATCAAGCTGGGAGAATATTTTTTAAAAAATGTTTGTCTGACTGGGGGATGCTAAAATATATTTGAGAGCCAGAGTAGTGTAGTGGTTTGAGTAATAGACTCTGACTCTGGAGACCAGAGTTCGAATCTTTGTTCAGTCTTGGAAACCCATTGGGTGACCTTGGGCAAGTTATACTCTCTCAGCTTCATTTGTTCAGAAAGGGTTTGCAAAGATTTTGTTTGAACAAATCTTGCCAAGAATACCCCATGATAGTTTCAATTTAGGGTCACCATTAGCCAGAAATGACTTGAAGATATACACCAACAAAAAATATATTTGAGGCAAAGACCATAGAACATCAAGATATGAGAATAGAGTGGTTTGCTAGGACTGGAGGTCATCAATCTTGAAAAGTCCTACATGTTTGCCTTTCCTCACCCAAATCTCATCAGAGTTCTTTTTCCTTAGGGATTAATACCTTTGAATCTCAGAAGCAGCATTGTTCATTTCTTTCTATGGACCTGCGTATCGTGTACATGTTAGAAGTTGCTGAACAGAGGATTCTTAAACTCAGCTAGTATAAAGGAGCTACAGTAAATGGATTTCATAATAAAGAAAAGAACAAGCTCATGTTTAATTAGAGATGACCCTATTTTAAATAGCATGAAGCCATTGGGGAGACAAAATACTGGGATTAGAAGCACCATGGTGTCAAACAGCGGTCTTTTCAGGCAGCATTACAAACAAAAATGCCACCCAAATAATAATAATAATAATAAAAAACAAAAACAAAACCCAAACAAATTTTCCATTGTTGATTTATTCATGCACTTTAAACAACCAGGAGCTTTTCTGAAAATATTTGCCCAAGGCAACTTAGCAAATAAATAACAATTAAAAGCACATCACATTAAAGCCATTCAGTCCCTAACAGCAAGGAAAATCATTAAAACGATTCTAATCCCAAACTCTAACAGTATTCACCTGATAGCTAAAGATGAAGAGCTCTGAGAGGGCAGTCTTCTGACCAGTTTCACAGGACAGAAAAAATCCTAGCCAAACTCCTTGCTAATCTGTTTGTGTATCTAAAGGCATATAACTGAAATGCAGCTGTTCCTAGCCTTTGAAGAGCCCATGTATTGTTGGACTACAATTTCCATAAGGCTAGATTGATTAGTTATGGGAGTTTTATTTCAAAATTTAGGTCAGGA